TGACTTGTTTTATGTAGAATCTTGCAAGATCTAAAAAACATACACTTTACCATAATGACAAAAAAAAGTAAATAAATGCACTCATCTCTTTCCAGTGCAATAGATGCACAGGAATAAACAGTTGAGCATATATATCTGTGTAAATCAATATAACAGAATTTCTATTTATGAAAGTTATAGTTCATATGAAGAATAAGCTTAGAAAGGATGGTATAAATTTCTTTAATAATTGTTTTACTACAAACACCTCATAGCTCTCCGTGTTTTTCCTTGGAAGGTACTCAGAAAACTCCCTCAAAAGTAGTAGTTCAACCTAAGTGTGCACTTGAATGTCTGTGTTTCCAAGTTAAAATCTTATGGTAGAAGGATTCTACCTTACAACGCCCTCTTTTTTTCTTTTTCAGAGAAGCGCTGAAAACTAACTGATAACATTAGTTTCATAGAGAGTAGAAAGTTACTTTACGTGGATCTGCAGATTCACATTTATGACTTTACTTCTTTTATTTTTCCTTTTTATTTATTTATTTTTTTCTTTAAAAGATCTTCGTTGATTATCCTGACACCTGCTGGTGAGGGCACAGTTGATTCTAGTCTACTTTTCCCTTCAACAACTTGCTCAAATCAAAGATTTTTAGGGGTATTTTCAGTGACAAGTGGTAATACATTCAGTTTAAGTATTTGTAGTACTTAAATTATTGCTGTATTACATAGGAAACCATGAGAAACATTTTAATAAGTACTTCACATTGGCAGCCATTTGACTCTGTCTAGAAATGTATGTTTGCTTTGATTAAGCAAACAACATTACAAAAATGAAGAAATCATTTTAGAGGAATATTTATATAGTCTATAACCATAGAACATCGAAGGAAGATGCTACGCATCTTCCTTAAAAATAGTAATAGGAATGGCTTAGCTTTGGTTCTCTGCTTTTTAAAATAATAATGTTAATTTTCAACCTACTTAGCAAATAAAGAGTAAATGATTAACTATGATGGAAGCCATAACACTAAACACATATTTGCAAAATTTGCAAAATTTGCAAAAAAAAAACTGAGTTCTGAAGCCTGCACTGTTTCTTTGACAGAGATACAATGACCCTATTACATCATAATCTCACTCAAAGCTATTGCACCTGCAAGTGTGTGCAGTAAACAACAATTATCAGAATTACTTTTTTAGGCTTCAAGAAACTCTCAAAGGGGGCAAGTTTTAAAAAACTGTAGACAAATGACAACATATACAGTTCATCCCATTGTGCAAAATCTTTCAAAAATGAAAAGTTTTACCCAATTAAAACTTTATCTTAAAATTAATAAAATTAATAGCTGGTACTACTAATTTAAAAACTGTCAAGCTTATATTTTGTAATGGTATTGAGTAATCATGCTACTTTATTTTAGTCATGCATATCTTATTCCTTCCCTTTACATTGCTATAATTTTATGAGAAGAAAAAAATCACATGTATCTAGAGAGAAAAGAAAACTTTATTAAATATTTATTTATAATACCCTAGATTTTGAATACATGATTTATATGAACATTGATGTCAATATATTTGAGAAAATTACATTTTTAATTTAGAAAAGTGTTCAGAAGTACAATACATTTGCCTAGTTTTGAAGATCTTTGCAACTTCAAGATCAAAGAAGGAAAAATGGACCATCTCAATTTTTTTCTGATTTTTTAAATTATTGTAAGTCTTTTCCCAAAACCATATACGTTTAAACCAAATACATTTTAATTCTAAGGAAACATTTCAGAAAAATCAGAAAAACTTTTTCAGAACCAGAGGAAAAAATTGTGTGTTGTATCACCACAGTGGCCAAAATTTTGCATTATTGCAAACTTTCACATGAGAATACTTTATTTTCACTTAATTCTTATTTAATTTGATATTTCAGAATTATTTTTACATGTTTTGCCTTGACTCTGAAGTTAGCATTTATTTTTAAAGTATAAAATTTAATGACCAGGTAAATTAGGCAATGAAGACATCAATATGTAATAATAATATTATAACTACATAAAAGAAACTCCTTATTTCTGTATAAATATAACTATACTAATCATAAAAGGTTAGTATTGTTATCTGGAGTGAGACTATTCAGGTATTAATTTATTCTAATGTAGAATTAACTAAAAATCGCCATTGATTAAAAAAAGAAAATGCAAATGCCAATGATTCATAGTATTTAGGACATGTCTAGACATTTTTAGACGGTGCCATTTGCTTAAAGACTTCAGGCACAAACTGCAGGCACAGGGACAGATTGCATAAGATGTCACGTGCTTGCTGCAACTGTATGCATGTTATTGAATTTTTTAGAGCAACCCATACCATGAATAATTTAATAGTTAATAAAATATTCAATCTGACTGATCCATTGGTTTAATTTTAAAATAAAGACGACTCATAAAAGGAGTTACATATCCTTATCAAATCCCGGGCATTAATGCAAGTAAATTGCAACCCATACGTAGGGAAAACACCAATTTCTAAAAGACATGAGATTAATGATTGGGGGCGGGAAGGAGTGCAAGGAAAATTCTGTGTTAGCACTGGCTTCAATAAGTTTGTCCGAAGTTTAATTGTTTGGAGCTGTCACGGAAGCTGTACTCTGCCTTCTGCAGAGGTGAGGGAGAAAAAAATTAGAGAGGTGCAAGTTTTAACAGAAAGGGCTAATGCAAAATGGTCTGTTTCTTTTTCCTAAAGCCTTTCCCCTGTCCGCACAGGCTAGCTGGGGGGGAAAGAGAGAAATCTCCTGAAGAATATGGAGTATCCAGCTTCCCGAGCATCGTCTAAAAGAATCAGGATGGAGAGTCCAGGCAACATCTCCACGGTTGGCTTGTCTGGCGAAGTAAGCTGCGCCCTCGGCGCAGGTATCTTCAGGAGACAGGGCTCCTGGCTGCAGCGAGCCGGGACTCGCCGCGCCCCAGGGCTCCGGCAATCAGACCCAGCCAGGCAAGCGCGGCCACATAGGCTAGACGCACTATCTTCTCCTCCATCCCGCGCCGCCCTCCACCTCGGAGCGGGGACGTACGGTGGTGGCGGTGACACAATGCGTGTGAGTGGATGAGTGTGTTTTCGTATTTGGGGTGGAAACGTAGGCGGGGAAGAGAAGGAGGAGAGGGGAGTGCCTGCAGTCCTTCCCCCTTCCCTTCCTGCTAAGAGATCAAAGTGCAGAGGAAATCCAGACGGGAAATGAGAGAAAGGAAAAACAGCAGCCGTGGAAGCACTCTCTTTTTCATATCGCTGGATACTCGGTCGAGCAACTACTGGAACCATTACCATTTCTTAACCTTTAGTGGAGTGGCTGCCTCTGCCTGATAACTGGAAGGGCACTTTGTAAACGCAGGCGAGGCACATACCTACACACACGCTTACACGCTGGGGGAAAATAACCACATTCTGGGGGACGGAGGGAGGCCCAGGCAAGTCGCGGCCATGGATCTCTACTGCCAGAGCTGCGAGGGCATCTGGCCAGCAACAACCGGCTTCTTGGGCGAACTGTCGCCCAAGAGTCCACAATTTGCTTGTGAGTCAAACAGATGGATAGGTGCATGGATGGATGGTGCAGAATATTCATACTCTATCTAATCTCAAGTGGATTGGAGTCGACACATTTTTAAATCCATCTACCTTTTTTATAGGCACAGCATTTAAAACCCTGTAGTTCACTCAGCTCTCCACTTGAAGCTGCCTGCAGAGGATTCTATTACCCGCGGATCCCTCATAAGGGGCCGCCCGCATCTGTGAGCGCAGGAGTGGCACAGCTCCCCCACGCACAGCTCCCACTCGCCTCCCCACACACCCTGCCTCCCCCGCTGCCCTTTTCCGGCGACAACTTCAGCCCCGGCCGGCGGCGAGACCCGGGTCAGGACAAGGGTTTGTATGGACAAGCTGCACCTCGCAGGGGACCTGGAAGTCGCCTAAACTACCCAGCAGAACACTCGTCGAAGTCCTGCATTTTCTTTTAAATGCTTTTTCTTTTTAAATTTATTTTATTTTTATTTTTCTGTTTTTATTTTTTCGTGCAATTCACAGAAGGCATCAATCTCTCTACAAGCTCTTACAACTTTTCCGCTCCTGGGCGGGGACGCGAGGGGTGGCTTGCCCCGCACTATTCCCCATTACCAAGAGTTAACACTGGTACCCGGATGGGGTGCGCAGCTAAGCTCCAGGCACCTGGGGTCAGACTAGGAGGGGCGGGTTCCTGGGGTTTGCTGTAATCGATGCTGCGCGTCTGGGATGGGGAGGCAGGAGAAAGCCGAAGTGACCTGTCAGACTCCTCTCCACCTCACCCGCGGCCAAAAAGCCCAGCGCCCGGTCTGGGTTTGCGAACGGCTCAGCCCGTGCCCTGCGCCAGAGCACCGCACCCGGGGGCGGACGGCCCTGCAGCTCCCCAGCCTTTTCCCGCATCAAGTAGCTGACGCCCGGGCGCACTGGCTTCCCCCACTCCCGCCCCCACGAAAGCCCTGCCCGGCGTCTGCAGTCAACATCGCCCGCACTGCCTAGGGAGGGTTTGCGCCGAGACCCAGTGGCCGAGTGAGCCACGGAGTAGCTGGTTCCTGCGGACGTTGTCCTCTACCGCTCCCCACCGTCCTCCTCTTTCCTGTATCTCACCCGGCACCCTTCTCCCAGCTCGGCTCCGCGCACTCTGCTCAGACTTTGCAAGCACTTTCTCGGGGCACCCAGGACTCGACGCCTCCTCCGCGCCGCCAGCGGCGCTCGCCACCCTTGGCACGCCCGAGGGACCGCCTCCGGCCCCCAGCGCGGCGTTTCCCAGGGGACTCCCAGCCCATCCCTCACCCAGCGGCCCGGGTCCCGACGCCTCACCTTTGCCGAACTGGGGGACACAGAGGCTGACCCCGACCAAGAGCCAGACGGCTACCAAGCACTTCATATTCCGTCTCCCGGACGTGACCCCGGCTGGTCAGAGGTCGTCGCGGAGGGCAGTGTAGCCGGGGTGGCACCGCAAGGCAGCAGCAGACTCCGCCCCTACTAAAGAATGCCAGAAGACGTTCTCTTTCCGCAGCGCTTTCTTAAACAAATTCTTGGAGAGGGCGAGAGTGGCGACTGAAGAGAGGAACCTTTCCTCCCCTTTTGCCTGCGCTCTGGCGCGCGGAGGTGGGTGAGCTGCGGGGAGCTGCCGGCGGGCTCAGTCCTCTGCTGCGGGTGGGTCCCGGCAGAGGCGCTGCGGGCGGGGCCCGGGCTCCCGCGACCGCCCCGGGTCTCCTGCGCGGGCAGGCAGACCCACTGGCAGACGGGCGGACGGGGCGCTCGGCTCTCGCTGTTCTCCGCGCGGCGGCTGCGGGGCTTCTGACTTGGAGAACAATGAAGCGTGAGCTGGAGGGAAGCGAGCGGGCCGCCGGGAGCGCACTGTGTACAAACAGAGGCGGCGTGCGTGTGAGTCTGAGCCTGGCAGGCGCGCTCCCCACTCCCCCGGCGTCCGCCCGCCCTCCGCCCGCCCTCTTATTCACTGCCCGGGTCTCCCCCTCCTCTCTCTCTCTTTTGCTCTCTCTCTCATCTTTCGCTCTCTCTCCCTCTTTTCTCCCTCCTCCCCTCCTCTTTCAGCTCCTTATGCTGTAAGAGAGAGGGAGACAACTGCAGCCACACCCTAGCACCTAGCACCTGCCACCACCTCTGAAGTTCCTGCATTGCCTGTACCTTCTCCACACGTGCTGGAGACTGTGGGGTTAAGAGCTGCACCCTTGCTGCCGAGAGTCCCTTGGATGATTCCAGCATTGACTTTATAATTAACCACGTTAAGGATTCCCCTGAACTTCCTTTCTCAGTATAACCAGGAAAAGAAGTTAAGAGATTTTGAAAAGTGGCTCTTGGGCACAAAACTGCATGAGAGACAGAACCCTGCAAAGTGAATTGCCCCGTATTTCTTAGGAAAGGCAACGTAGTCATCAACCAGACTCTAATCAGCTAAGACAGGGCTGCTCTGCTGTTCTGTCTACATTTTAGTTAGCTCCAGGGCTGGGAAGAGAGGGTTGTGGGCTCATCTGTTCACGAGGGCAAAAGGGTGGTAGTGAGTAGGAGACATGCATCTCGTTAGGCAGGACATCTGTTTCAGAGAAGAAGTGGGGCGAGTTTGGGAACTGTGCAAGAACATAAAAGGCAGGGACAGACTCTTGAAGCATCAATAAGGTGGATCAAATTTTCTTTCTATCCGCCAAAATAAATGGACTGGTTTTTGCAATGAAAGTGATTGAACCAAAAATACAGCTCATGGCTTACAATTGTGCCTTCTTCTCTGTTTTTCGGTTAGAAAGATTGCTTACTGTACATGGATCCAATTCCAGCAGTTACAGGTACCAAAATGAAACAGGACTTCTTTTTTTTTTTTTTTTTTTTTTTGGCTCCTGGAGAGGGAGGTAGGGAGAGAGACAGAAACACAGAGCTGGAGAAATTGAAAGAGAAACATTCTGGAAGGCAAAGAGTTGAAAGGTGAATCTACTAAGAAAAGAATAATAGAATGCAATTAGCCGTGGAACTATATCTCCATTTGCTTCTTTGAGCCCTTTAAACTTTGATTTCTACCTTCCTTTTGAAATTTTAAGTGAAATGAAGAATGCAAGGTGAATGGAACTGTAATGTTGAATAGTGCTAGGGAGGGTTTAAGGTATTGTATCACTGGCAAACAAACAACAACGGAAAAGGAAGGAAGGAAGGAAGGAAGGAAGGAAGGAAGGAAGGAAGGAAG